CTATATTTACATATGTACATGCCTGTATTTAGACCTCTATAAATGCCCTTTGCCTCCTGGTTGTTTCCCTATTTCCTTTTACTTTCCTCTTATCCCACTATCATGCTCAGCCTTCATTTGGGTTTCAGCAAATCCTTTCAGTTACATTGCCCTTGCTCAAGCCCTACCAGGCCTCTTACACCCTCCTTGCCACTGATTTTGGACCACTAGCTGTTCCCTTGTCCCTGGGTTTGTTAACACCACTTCCTTTCCCCCACCTCCCCACTTCTTCCATGTCCCCCTGAAACCGTTTGCCCCATTGCTTTCTCCTCAGGATTGTTTATCCAGCCTATTTTATCTAGATAGACCTGCGGAGATAATAATTTGCACAAAACCAAGACAGAGCAAAACAAAGCAACAAAAGAAAACAACAACAAAAAAACCAATGCCACAGAAAAGAAAAGCCTATAAATAGTTCAAGGTCTGCTCCTTGACCTTTAGGAGTGTAACGAATCTTTTTATTGCGGGCTCCTGCAGCTCTTATAACAATCTCCAAATCAATGATATCGAACACACTAGTACATATGTTGGTATCATCAGTTTTGAAACATTTTCTACTTGAGCCCGTGTTACCGCTTTCTCTTTTTTCCCCTTCCTCACCCACCGTTGTGACCCCTTGATAAATTATCATTTTCATAGCTTACACTGTCCGCTGTCTCTCTTCACCTACATTTCTCTTGTCCCCCCGCCAGTGAGTGGGGGATTTTATATGTCAATCATTGCAATTGGTTCTCCCTTTCTCCCCCTGTTCCCCCCACTTTCCCCCTACCCTCATGGTATGGCTACTTCCATTATTGTTCCTTGGGACTTTATTTGTCCTGGAATCTGAGTGTTGAGAGCTCTTATCTATACCGGTGTACATGTTCTGGTCTAGCCAGATTTGTAAGGCAGAACTGGGCTCATGAAAATAGGGGTGAGGTGTTTCTTTGGTGCTATAGTGCACCCTGGCTGGCTCGTCCCTTCCTTGTGACCCTTCTGTGATGGGATGTCCAATTGTCTAGAGATGGGCTTTGGTTTTCCAGTCTGAACCAACCTTGTTCGCATTGATATGATTGTTGGCTTTTGGTCTTCTGATGCCTGATACCTGATC